CATAGACATTTCATTGCATAATAAATTCAAGGAGCAATTTTTTCCAACCATTTAATACTTGCCCCTCCTTGGGATATACAGTTGTATTTATATCCATGGTTAATAGTAATAGAATTCCTGACACACTCTTATGGCCACTATATCCACATTAATTTTAAATGAAGAATAAATGGAGGCTCAGAGGACTGACAATGAAACACACAGCCTTTTGCCATTGGTCAGCATCCGATTAGAACGAATCATCAGGTCTTAAAAAAGTTTGGGAGCAGGCTTCCCTGGTGGCGCAGTGGTTGAGAGTCCGCCTGCCGATGCAGGGGACACAGGTTCGTGCCCCGGTCCGGGAGGATCCCGCATGCCGTGGAGCGGCTGGGCCCGTGAGCCATGGCCGCTGAGCCTGCGTCTCCGGAGCCTGTTGCTCCGCAACGGGAGAGGCCACAACAGTGAGAGGCCCACGTACTGCAAAAAAAAAAAAAAGTTTGGGAGCAATAATGGTATCTCAGTGGCTGGTGGAAAGTGAGTTTGGGTCTGAACCCTGTGCCAGGAGGAGAGAGACAGGGCCACAATGCAAGTGACATCCTTTTCCAATTTTGTCTCCTCTACAAAAGTCTTGTTACCTGGAAACAACTAACCTGTTAAGGTGAGAAATTGTCTTTCTAAAATAAGTCTGAAACACAGCAAGGAAGAGGATTATTTGTGATCTTACAGGGTCCAGACTTCAGAGGTTTAAGAATATGACAATGGCCTTGCTTATCTTTGCTCTTGGTCGATGACAGGGTAAAGAGGTGAGTGTTTGAGCATCTACTGTCTTTACAAACTGTACTAGAAACTATGGAGATAGAGAAGAAGCATGAAACAGAAGCAATAAATGTTGCTTCGGCTCAAGGACTGTATAACCTAGTTTGAGAAGCACATTTTTACCTACAGTGAGTTACTCATAAATGTAAAAGACTCTTTGAATATGTAAGTTCAGCATGAAGGATACACACAAGGTCAACATGAACAGATACACATCTTCCCTAATGAAGCTGCTGCTATTCTCATTACTTTTGGAATTGCCTTCAGAACTAACTTATAAGGCATGCTGAAATATTTACAAAGTTACAAGTCCATGGTTTCGCTCCGGTTAATCATCCATATTATTCAGAAAGTGGCTTCAGATAATTCTGGTCAATTCCAAGTATCAAAGCTGCACTTAATGAACATATAATTGCCCAGCTAAGGCCTTTAACATAAAGTGATATCCTTTCTGTAAAGGGAGTTCCACCATTTGTGCAATACTTTGAACAACAGCGGTCTATTCCTTTGAAGGATAAAACATTTATTTGGTTCTAAAAATTCTAGTATATTTATTTTAAAATTAAATTATGTTATTAAATTATGTTGCTACAGAGACCTACCTATATTCTCAAGAACAGACTTCATAGCAATCACAAAGTACTATTATAAAAGTCCTGCATGTTCCATGGGACCTACATGTTCACTGTAATGGAGATGTATCACAGTGAGTTCTCAGCTCAAAATCAGCAGAAAAAGTCAAAAAAGAGAGAATGGCCCCTTGTATGTCCTCCTGCAATTACTTCAAACACCTCTGAACTTAATTCCTTTGGTCCCCTCTTCTCTCTTCCTGTAAGTATCTCCTCCCATGGACCTCATCTTGGCTCAGTTGACCACTATCCCCCAATCACTCAAGTCAGAGATCTGCTAGTCATCCTAGATTCTGCATTCTCCCTTATTTTACCCCATTTCTGATCAACTACCAATTCCTGTTGGCTCTATCTTCTAAATATTTCTCACCTCCATGCCCTACCCTCTATTTGCCAAAACTGCCCCGATCAAGCCATCACCTGTGGAGATAAACAAGACTCTCTAGCATGGTAATGGGTCCACTGGGCCTGTCCCACCATCGCCCCCTATGGCCAGAAAGAAGGACTGCAGCTGAATTCAACTTCCAACAGGCCCTATGGTTTCCTTTTCTACAAAAGAGAAGCTGCAATTTCGCATGGTGCCAAAGTCCAGAGGTGCTGGGCTTTTCAAACCACCCTGCAAATGTTGATGTCCAAACTCACTTCTTAGCACCAGAGCAAAGACTGCTATCGAGAGTCCTAAGGCCATTCCCACACTTGCCCCATAAAAAACGGAGAGCAACAGAGGGGCCGTGAGGCTTCTGGGGACAGAGGAGCATTAGTGCAGCCAGCTGAGTGTAGGTTCCCTGGCCCTACTCCGCGGAATG